AAAAAAAAAAAAAAAAAAAAAAAAAAAAAAAAATCCTCTCCTTTGTCAACAACAAGTATTATTCGCATTCTCTCATTTACTTTATATCTTTAATTATAGTTTTAATTTGAAATTGAGTATTGTAGGGTTTAATTAGGGATGAATTATAATGTTGAGATTTTGTTGAAATTAATTAGGACTTTCATTAGGGATGAATTAGTCTAGGGCTTTGATTTTGGACTTTGTTAAAATTGAGTATTCTATGGTTTAATTATAGATGAATTATAATTTTTGGTTTGGTATGGTTGAGATGATATTATGAGAATTTGTTTGATTAAAATTTTTTCTGCATATTATTCATAGGCTATCTTTTATTATGTCAGATCAAATCGGAATCCTAAGAGAACAAATAATTTGTTGTCTTTTTTTAAGAAAAAGAATGATGGGTCATCATCTAGTACATTGCCTTCTATCACTTCTTTATCTACTCCAATATGTGATGAGCAAAATCTTCATGAGTCTCCCATTGACGAGCCTCCAGTTTTTAGCTTTTGTATCTGTTGAACTTTTATTTTATGGATAGAGATGCATTTGAGGGTAAGGCTCATGATGTCCCCCCTGACTAGATGTATCTTTTTATGTTTGTTAATGAAATTCACTCATATCGTCGAGTTTGGTATGTAAGTTTTGCCTAATGGGATTTTGAATCCTAGAACTGCCTCAAGGCAATGGTATTTGAAGTTTGACAAGATAATTACATCATATTGTTTCATTGAGAACAGAATGGATAGATTTATCTTCCTTGTCATTTATGTGGATGATATTTTACTTGCTAGTAGTGATGAAAGTCTCTTACATGAAACCAAGGAATTTCTGTCTATAAATTTTGAGATGAAAGATCTTGGAGAGGCTTCTGATGCATAAAGAATTGAGATTCACAGATATAGAATTAAGGGATTATCAGGGTTGTCACAAAAGGCGTATACTAAGAAGGTGTTAAAAATGTTTAATATGCTTCAAAGCAATGGAGCTGAGGTACCTATTTCAAAGGGGATAGATTGAGCAAAAATGATTATCCAAAGAATGACATTGAAAGAGCAGAAATGAGAGACAATCATTATGCTTTAGTTGAAGGAAGCATCATGTATGCACAAGTGTGTACATGGCCTATTTAGCATTTTCTATTAGTGTATTGGGAAAATACCAAGCTAATCTAGGTATATCTCATTGTAAGTCTACAAAGAAGGTTCTCAGATATATGCAGAGAACTAAGAATCACATGTTGGTTTTTAGGAGGACAAATAAGTTTGAACTGGTTGGTTATATTGATGCATATTTTGAAGGATGTGCGGACACTTCTAAATCAACTTCTAGCTTTATGTTTATGATGGGAGAAGGTGCCGTGGCTTGGAAAAGTGTAAAGCAATCGACAATGGCTACATCTAATATGTATGCAGAATGTGTGGCTTGTTATTATTGTACCCAAAATGTCACGAGCCCGCGCAAAAGAGCCCAAAACGAGGTCCAGCCCATATCACTTGAGAAACTGACTGGACCCCATCAAAGTACCTGAATACGACTCCCCCTAAGGCCGCCCAGGCCCAATCAAGATAGGGAAAACCCGCCAAGGCCCACTTGACGATCACATCACACTAAACCAAGTCATTCGTCCTTGAAGATCCAAAAAGCCAAAAGCGAGGCCCGCTACATACCTCTCCAAAATGTGTGCTAATCCCAACAGAAGGTGAACACGCTCCAGGATCCCATCAGCCACCCAACCTGAAGATGCCACGTCATCAGAGGCCTAATAGTCCCACATCGGAAAATGACGGAAAAGAGGTCCTTCACTCCCAATATAAAAAAAAAAAGTACTTTCACCTATTAAGGTAATTTGAATCCCTCTAAGACTTAAGTTCAAAAGTTTTCAATCCTCCTTTCAGGAAGAATCTGACTTAGGCATCGGAGGGTGGTTGGTGGCCCCACCACCACATCTTTAGTGACTCGTGCATGTCTTCCTTTTCAGGGGATCAGAGTCATCGCTCGCATGTATCGCGTTGCCTCATAATGCAAGGAAAAGAAGATTCGCATAAGTGTGTTCTTCAAAACCTAAAGAGACACTCTTGAGGAAGGGTTGATTGAAGGGTTGGACACACTCTGATTGGTGGTGCGAAAACCAAGCATCAATAACAGTTATGAAGCCACAGCTCATGCTATTTGGCTAAAAAATTTATACATGATCTAAGGGTAGTTAGTTCTATAAAGAGACCTATTCAATTGTGTTGTGATAACAAAGCATCAGTTTTCTTTTGCAAAAATAATAAGAGGTCCTCTGGAGTTAAGCACATGTATGTGAAATGTCTGCTTGCAAGGGAGAAATTTAGAGAGGGTGAGACAAGTGTTGATTACATTAGCACCACATAAATTCTATTTGATCCATTGAACAAGGTTGTGCCTAATTTAGTTTTTCAGAGGCATGTTAATGGAATGAGAGTGTTATCAAGTTTTGAGGATGCTCTAGTTTAGTGGGAACAGTTTAGCTATTTTTTATTACAACATGTCTAATTTTGAGTGTTTTGTTGCTATTCTTAAGCTAGTGTTTTGTAATTTTTTTCTGGTTGAGAATAATGACTTTTTTTAATGTTTAGCAGCATGAATGAATAAATTTGGTTTTGATTCCATTGAATTTTACAATATAAATGAAAATTGTTATGTAAATGGAAGGAGCTCTTCATTGAACATTGAAGCTAAACCACTCATAGGACCATTCGTATGTCAGAAATGATACTTCATAGTTTAGCACTTCTAATTTATGAGCAGAACTATGACTTGTTGGTACTCTATGTGAATGTGTCACTCCTTGTTGTGATTGTAGGTGGATGATGCCATATCATTTGGATATCATGTCTGCAGTCCTATGAGTTGGTGACATTTGACACAGAGTTTGATATAGATATCTGTATCGAGTGGCCTTTCTAATCTGTGCACATGAGGAATTGATTCTAGACAATGAGGAGGTGTTTTACATGGATGTGGCACTTAAGTGAGAGAATGTAAGAACTTTATTGAGTTTGCATCCATTTAAAGCCCCAAATCTGTCAATAATAAAAGGGGAAAGGTTTTAACTCGATTAGCTAGTTACTTGCAAGTGAAGAATATATATATATATATCCTATTTTGTCATGGATTCTGGAAGTGATAAAGATATGCTTTAGGTTTTCTTTATGGGCGAGAAACCTAAAGCTCTTGACTGTAAATACATGGCTTAGGTCCCCAATCTTATACACAACTCACAAGGAGAAAGCCTACCCCATACTAGGAGTGCATAAGGAGTGTAGAGAGAGAGGAAGATTTTTGCTTGATGTTCGTGTTTTTGCATATTCATCTCGATGAAATCTATTTGTAATTATTTTCACTTTCAAGTTTTTGTTTTCACTTTTATTACTCTTCCCTCTCATTCTCTCTCTGAATCTCATTTTCACACTCATTTTCCCTTATACTCTAGCACAAAAAATGAAAACTAAAAACTAAAATTAAAATAGTTATCAAACGGACCCTTACTTTACAAATTAATCAAATTTTATATATCCAAATTGAAATTTAACTCATTCCCCCATTAAAATGTAAAATGAAATGTAGAAGTTACCAATCAAAGAAGAATAGTATAGTATGCATCTTGAAACAATAATTTTTACACCAAAGTTCAACAACCTAACAAGATGGGGAATGGTGCGAGACCGAATTTCGCATTCTCATTCTAATTGTATACGAGACAAGATGTGACACAAGTGAGCTCAACAATTATTCTCATACCTCATAGGACCCGATTTGGCGATGAGAATTGTTTAATCCCACACCCTTTTGTTTTTCCAATTTGAGGATGAGAATTGTACCTCTCACTAATCTTTTTCTACCGTTACCTCATCATCCATTTGAACCGTCGCCGCAGTGAATAAAGGTTTTACCGCGATTAGCGGTAGCCGATAGTAGCAAGCACTATAGCAGGCTCTCTCTCTCTCTCTCTCTCTCTCTCTCTCTCTCTCTCCACCGCCCCTGTAAGCCGCGCTTTGAAAAGAGCACCCACCATCCAAAATCAAAAGTAGATAATCAACGTGTTTGATTCATTCATAATCAACACCAGCAAGAAGAAGAAGAGGGGCTTCAAACCCTTCAATTCAATTGTTCAATTGTTTCGATTGTTCGATTCTTCGATGAGTGGTAGCAGTAATTTTAGACCACCAGCAGAAGACGCCTGGGTTCACACTTACAAGACCTTACTTCCTCAATGGCAATCCCTCTCTCACTCCCGCCAGGTTCGTTTTCCTTTCCCTTCATTTCCTGCCTTCATGTCTCCGCTGATAATTTTTGTTCGTTTTATCAATTTTGGGATTCAGCAAAAACTGCTTTTTATGTCACTTTTTGTGCTTGTTTACTCGGAAAATGTTCTCTGGAAAATCAAGTTTAGAGATTTTGGTGTTTTGGGTTTTGGGTTTTGGTGATTGAATTCGACCCAGTATCTTGATTAGAATTAGCAGACGAAAAATCAGTGAATTATCAACAAATTATAATTTTGTGGAGCTTCTCTAATCTAAATTTGGAAAGATTTCAATAACTACTTTCCAGAAAACAAACCAAGTGGTTCTTAAATGCAACCTTTTTTGTTTAAAAGAATCTTCTTTCGATTGGGTAATATGTACATACATGTATGATAGTGTTTGTGTTTGTTTGTTTGTTCATTTGTTCATTTGTTCATTTGTTCATTTGAAATACCTTTTGATTTATGAAAAATTCTTTTGCAGTCAATAATCCCAATTTCCATATCTAGAGTTAACCAATTCGATGCGGGAAGACTGGACATTGAAATGTCAGCCATGTTGAAAGAACAGTTGGTCAAGGTCTTCTCGTTAATGAAGGTATTGCTCATGGTCATGGCTTATAGTTGTAGTCATCAAAGCAGGTAGCCATATGTAGCTGTTATAACATCCCTAAACTGTTCCTTCTTTTCATTGGGATTAGCCAGGAATGTTATTTCAATATGAAGCGGAACTTGATGCTTTCCTCGAGTTTCTTATCTGGCGGTTCTCGATTTGGGTAGATAAGCCTACTCCAGGAATCGCTCTCATGAATCTGAGGTATAGAAACGAACGTGCACTGGAAGCAAGAGGAAAAGGTAAGAACATCTTGGCATTTCCTGCATATGTTAAGTTGGCTCTGGATGATATGCAATGTTCTGACTAGTTATATGTTAAGTAGGAAACAAAGAAGATGAGCTTTCTAAAACATTATGGTAGTCTTAGCCCTGATTTACACAGTTCATCATGGCTTGTTGTCAATTGTATTGCTTCTTGTGTCACTGGAAACCATTGAAGTTGTATTCTCATAAACACTAATTTTGGTATGCACTTTGTCCTAGATTGGCCATAAATTCTCATCTTAAATGATATTCAATGATCAAATAAGTTTGGAATTGGTATATGTCTACCAAAGTTACTTTCGTTTTCCCTATATTTTTTGTTAACAAATATGACCAAATTCTCATATCAGTTAAAGAATATACACCAACTTTATATGATACACCCAAATGAACATTCTAGACATCTCTAAAGTAGAAGAAGTTTTCAAATCCCAAATAGTGGTCTGACTGATGTAGTAACCAGGCTGTTCCTAAATTGTCCAATTACAAATTGAGCTGTGAACAGTTATATTTGTTCAAACAGAAATTTGCAATTGCATTTTTTCATTCAGCTTGTTAATAGTGCATCCTGATTACATGTATTCTTACATTTTATGCTTCTGCTTTCTTCTTCAATTTATTTTCAGTCAGAACGGGTTTGGAAGGACCTGGACTTACAGTTGCACAGAAGCTTTGGTATTGTGTTGCCACTGTTGGTGGTCAATACATCTGGGCTCGTTTGCAATCGTTCTCTGCCTTCCGTAGGTGGGGTGATTCTGAACAGGTACTGTTTTGTCTCTGTGTTTTTCTGCCCTCAATAAAACATATGGCGGATTATTGAAGTCGTCTGATGATGTTCTTTTCCATTTTCTTCAGAGATCAGTGGCACGAGGAGCATGGATTCTGATACAGCGTATAGAAGGACTTTACAAAGCTGCCTCATTTGGCAACCTTCTTTTATTTCTTTACACTGGAAGGTATGTTCTTTGGCATTTACTTTTAAGATTGTATCCAGTCTATTGATGTATGCATACTACTTGTAGCCATTTTTTCTGAGACCCAGAGAGCATTAGTGCTCTGCAACTAGAGTTGGTAGCTTCTGTTCCTGGATATTTTAAAAATATAACCGAATTTGCAGCATAGTATGCAATTTTTTTTTAATGGAAATCAAAGTTTTGTTTGATACTGCACAACCTTTTGACATTTTGTCTCCTATTTTTTTTACCTTCGTTTTATATGGATTGACGTGTTGATAGAGCTGCTTTTGTAATATGATAATATGGGAATTTTTCGATGTGATATTCTTAAGGTGATCTAGGAATAATATTTCCCTTGACAAGCTTGTAAAACTCAACATCTTTTCAAATCACATGTTGCGATGCAGGTATAGGAATCTAATTGAAAGAGCTTTAAAAGCTAGGCTGGTCTATGGGAGCCCTAATATGAACCGAGCAGTTAGCTTTGAGTACATGAACCGCCAGTTAGTATGGAATGAATTCTCGGTATGTCCTTATTTATTTGATACCCCTTAATTTATTTTTACAAGTGGAATTAACATTCTTAGTTTGAGGAACTGCCATTCTAAGGCATGCCAAGTAATGATATCAATGAAATATATTAGTGTGATTTGAGTAAGGCTTTTGGACTCAAACATCTGACAGGTTCCATTCAGCTGATGTTGAAGAAATTCTAGTTTATTTGAAAGCAGTTTTTAGTTTTCTAGCATATAAAATTTGTCCTTAATTAGGGTTGTAGATACTTTTTTTTGTCTTTTCAAGTATATATAGGAACATATTTTGATATGATAAGTGTTGGAAACCAGATTATAAAGCATTTTCTCCAAAATAGTTCTTTTTTTAATAGAATTTTTTTAAGAAGCAGGTTTTAATATCCTAGTTCTGTAAGTAACAGAATTGTTTTGCTCCTTTAAAAAATAATAATAATAAACAGAATAGTTTCGCTCTGTTTTAGTTCCATGTTCATGTTGTTGAGTCTGGTTTGTAATGATCGTGTGTGCCAATTTTATCTGGTTGTGCTATATGCACCCCTTTTGTCCGCCCAAGTTGTATGCATCTTGGCGTGTATTTGCGTGGGTGTAAGTATACATACCTACACGAATGCTCATGTTTGCAATATTTGGTCCATTGGCAAAGAAAAAAAGATTCAGAGTTGTTTATGCAAAGTAAAGCTCTAGATTTTTTGCACAATCCTTGATCCTTCTTGCGTGGTTTCAAAGGTAAATCCAAAGTATTTCTGCAGCCATTCTTGATCTTACAAAGAATATTAAAAAAATTCCGAGTTTTTGATTTGCAAAAGGTAAGTTCTAGATTTTGCGCCTAGTTCTTGATCAATATTTTGCATAACACATGCATGGCCTTATAGATATTGGAAACTAGAAAAATAACAATATTAAATTGCTTGATTTGCCGACTGCATGTACACTCCATATTTGTGTGTGCGTGTGTGTGTATTTCTCTCTACTTTTTTTTTCTGCATAATTATATTCTCATTTTTGCTTCATGATTTGCTGTTCTGGTGTCCAATTTTGGTTGGTTTTTGAATTGTTACACAACAACGTATAGAACTTAAATAGTTCTTGTGCTGATGGCAGGAGATGTTATTGTTGCTTCTTCCTCTTCTAAACTCATCCTCTATGAAAAACCTTCTTCGCCCGTTTTCCAAGGATAAATCATCAAGTTCAAAAGAGGATGACTTTGCTTGCCCCATTTGCCAGGCCAGTCCAACCGTTCCATTTCTTGCTCTTCCCTGTGAGCACAGGTACATCACTTAATCTAATCCATCTCTGACTTCTCTGTAAAGAAACCTACTTTTGACAGAGTACCAAAATGGCATAAGAGTAAGATGCGGTGTACAGCCTATAGAAAATTTCGAACCAAATCTTTGATCTAATTGGGCGCATTTGGCTCAGAAATTAAGCCAAAATGATAATTTTTAGTATGATTCAATATTTATGCTGTAATGTGATAATCGCTCATGCTGGCAGATACTGTTACTACTGCCTTAGGACACGATGTGCTGCAGTCCCGGCTTTCAGATGTTCCAGATGCAATGAGCCCATCGTTGCCATGCAGCGGCATGTTAACGAGCCAAAGCAATGATTGTTACAGTGGGGAAGCAACCACTACATAGTATAAGCACAAGTGTATAAAATAATGCTTGAAAGTAGCATTACTTTATTTTCCTCTTTCTAAGCATTACCTTTGAATTGAGGGGAAAATGACATCTGAATCTAGAGTTTATGTTCCATTGTAGATCATTCATTCATCTATGGGGTAGAAAGCTTCATTCTTTGTCCTTAGATCCTGTATAGTCTGGACTGTCATTTTATAAAATTGGTCTGCTTTTAAACTAAATGCTAGAAGCCAGCTTTCAGAGCCTGCTATTTTCTGCTTGGGAAAGCCTCAAATATGTAAATTTGAGCAGTGAGTAATCCCATTGGACATGCAATAAGCAGTGAAAGGAGCATTTTATTGAGATCCTGCATGTATTTACTTCCCCAGTCAACATTTGCTAAAACTCAGCACTTCATTGTGCTATGTATTTACTTTTCTTTCTTCTTCAACGAATTCGTTTCGAACCCGAAAATTTCCTAACATTGTTGGTTCCCTTCATGTAAGATACAGGAACAACTCATTGAAAGAACAAAAGAAAGGTTTTCGTTAATCCTTCGCGATTAACTGTGATTTATCTGCAAGGAGGAATGAACATGTGAAATTGAAATTACGAGAACTAATGAAAAAATTGTCCAACCATCCTGCATTTTTTTTCATTAATACGTGGACATAGTAGACATTTTGGAGGGTGCAACCAACAAAAACTAGCTCATACAAATTCGTTGCACTAGTTTTATACACTTAATTTCTCCAAATTACCCTCATAGGGGCTACCAAATTTCATATCAACCTCATCAGCCAATCCAACCTCCCCAAGTCTCCTCAGCCCCTTACTCAGAACCCTAACCATATACTCGTCCGCTTTAAAATCACCAGACCCCCACCCATTCCTCTTCAACATCTCATAAATCTTGACCGTTGATTCCCTCCTATCCGCAGTAACAACGGCCCTGATCAACCTTATCAATCCCTTGTCACTGTCCCACTGGACCCCACTCTCTTTCTCCAGAACACAAATCAAGCGGTCCATATCCTCCGCCATCCCATTTCTCGCGAGCGCCAATGCCATCTCGGCGTAAACAGATAAGTCGGGTGGGTATTCTGATCGGAAGGTGGAGAAGACCTGGAGAGCCAGGTGGCACTGTTCCTGCCGCAGAAGCTCTCTGAGGGCGGCGACGAGGTCGGCTTTTATTAGGCGTGAGAGGGTCTTGGATGCGAGAGTGGGAAATTGGGTCGGGTCGGATCTTTGGGCCCGTTTGAGGGCTTGGACGGCTTGGATGGCCTCGATGCTGAGGACCCGGCCCTTGACCAAGGGTCCACGGTTGTCGCGTGGTCCGCACCGTACGGAAACGTGGGTTATGGTGCGGTTGGTTGTGAGCGTGAGGGGTTTGAGTTTGAGGAAGTGGGTTGGGTTTGGATGCAGAGAGGAAGCCATGGATGAGTTGAGAAGCGAAACCAAAAGAGCTACGAAGTTAAGGCGGTGGTAGTAAAATTGCATTGGATAATGATCTCTAATGACAATTTTACCCATAAAAAAGAGAAATATGATTATGACCTTTTTTGGGTCGAAATTATAAATTATTATTTTTTAACATAAAATAAATCAGTCTGAGAAATGAGAACTTAAAATAAACTGAGAAGGCGGTGGTAGTAAAATTGCATTGGATAATGATCTCTAATGACGATTTTACCCTTAAAAAAGAGAAATATGATTATGACCCTTTTTGGGTCGAAATTATAAATTATTATTTTTTAACATAAAATAAATCAGTCTGAGAAATGAGAACTTAAAATAAACTGAGAAAGGAAAATTCGGATTTGGATTTGGATTTTACATGGGGTTGTACGTTGAATGACGATTTAGCCCTTTGAATGAGAAAATTGCAAAAAGAAATCGTCGACAGCAGGATTCGAACCTGCGCAGGCAAAGCCCAACAGATTTCGAGTCTGTCTCCTTAACCACTCGGACATATCGACGTTCTTGTTGACCATGTTTCTATTGTTTTATTTAGATGGTTATCCTATAATGGGACAACGTGTACCATACTGAACTTATATGGGCCATTGTGGAATTTTGGTTAAATTTCTTGGGCTTTCTGTTGGTTTTTGTAATGTGTGTATGTATGAGCCATGTATGTCACAAACAGCATAAGCCCATGTCTATCTACTTGCTTTTCTTTTGATAAGGGCACGCCATACCATGAGCCCAGCTGTCTAATCCCTCATCTTGATTACTACTGTTCTTTAGGTCAGTGCTGATACATGTTTTTTTGTTTCAAATCAGGAGGAAATTGAGGAGCTCGTGAGAATCGGCTGCATAGCCAACAGGTATCAAGAAGCCTGGATTTTGCAGATTTAAGCCTTTGTTCTTTCAAAAAAACTTACATGTAATAGGGATAACACTGTTTTGCTATCCTCGGCCAATAACACAATGACACGTGAAAATGTTATACTACGTGTCATTGCGTTATTGGACGGACATAGCAAAAAGAGTTATCCCCGTTACATGCTCTCCTGTTTTTTTGGCTTGGTTGATTTCAGTTGTTTGGAAAGTCCTTTTAAAAGTTGTGAATTATAGAATGTGTAGAATTGAGCATATCTGAAAATGAAACTGCTGATGGACTGGCAAAGGTCAAGGTGACTGATATTTCACATAAGGTCTTGGGTATTCATTGGGGCCATGTATGTCACAAACAGCATAAGCCCATGTCTATCCACTTGCTTTTCTTTTGATAAGGGCACGCCATACCATGAGCCCAGCTGTCTAATCCCTCATCTTGATTACTAGTGTTCTTTAGGTCAGTGCTGATACATGTTTTTTTGTTTCAAATCAGGAGGAAATTGAGGAGCTCGTGAGAATCGGCTGCATAGCCAACAGGTATCAAGAAGCCTGGATTTTGCAGATTTAAGCCTTTGTTCTTTCAAAAAAACTTACATGTAATAGGGATAACACTGTTTTGCTATCCTCGGCCAATAACACAATGACACGTGAAAATGTTATACTACGTGTCATTGCGTTATTGGACGGACATAGCAAAAAGAGTTATCCCCGTTACATGAGAGTTTCTCTCCTGTTATTTTGGCTTGGTCCTTTTCAAAAAAGCTTCTTGAAACAGGCATGTTAAGGGGCGAAGCTTTTCCCTTTTACTAATTTTATTTGACTAAAAAAGTGGCAGACAGGATATTTGAGTATTCATTGGATCCATCATAATAAGGCCTTGGGTATTCATTAACTAGAAGCAGAGAAGTTTTAGCAGCAAGAGACAAGAATATTCATTAAACTAGAATGCACATTTTCAATTTCAATTTACTACTACAGCTACAGGACAGAAGCTACGCTACAGACTTTATCACCTCAGTTCATCACTCTTGGTCCTGTTCACAGACGTCTAGTTTTGCTTTCTCCACCTAAAAAGTTTTAGCCAAGAAGGTAAAAGCTTGTGGCCTTCGTCGGAGTCGTCGGAGAAGGCGTTCATAGAATCCAAAATTCCTACCCCGTTGGAGTTGGTAGCATGAAATGTATTCCCACTGACGACATAGCCACCGTTGACGACAAAGCTGCCGCCTGTGCCGTTGGAGACCTGTGAGGGGCTCAGTTGAGGAACAGGAACAGGTGGTGACTTGCTTAGCAGATATTTATGAATCTCAGCAATTAACTTCTGCCGTTCAGAACTGCCATATTTTGGAGGTGCTGCACGAGATTTGATGGCCAGAACACGCCTTTCTTCCTTATTGTATTCTACTGAACCCAATTCACCATCTGGGTAGGTGGGCATTTCATCCATAAGTGCATCTAAAGCGTCTCGCACCCCCCATGATGGCTGCCAATCATTCAGTCGCCTTATCCTGATCTTGTTGTAGGGTTTGAAGCGACCATTTTCCGTCAAAAACGTGAATGAAGGAGGCTTCAATGGATACTCCTCCGGAAACTGGATCCACCCATGATAAACCCCACCCTCGAATTCTGTTCCAAAAATGCCTCGGAATCCAAATTGCCATTTATATGGGTTCCGCTCGAGCATGCCACACTTGAAATCGTCGGAGGGATTGGATTCAATCTCTCTATACTCCTCTAGAATCCGAGTCAATCGGGAGGGCCGAGTAAATCCGACTTGATCGGAGGGTTTGGATTTAATCTTACGAAGCCGCTTCATCGCTGGGTAGCGATCCAATTCCCTTTGATTTGGTTCGATCTGCGTCGATCCGACTCGATCGTCGGAGGGTTTGGATTCAATCTCACTATACTCCTCTAGAATCCGCTTCATCGCTGGGTAGCGATCCAATTCCATGTGATTTGGTTCGATCTGCGTCGATCCGAGAAGTAGAGGAAAGCTGTAACTGTTTGAGAGTTGGACAGAACTAGTCTAGAGATGTCTATTTGGCTAAGAAAGAACTGAACAGGGGAAATCGAGCATGAGATGAAAGCGGAAGGCTAGAGCGTGCAGGAAAGCCAAGTCGAAAAGCGTAGGGATAGAGATGTGGCGTCGTTTTATAGATGAGGGAATAGAATAGGTTAAGGCTCCTCAATGGGCTGGGCTTTCTAAGGCGCATGGGGCCGGGCGGGGCCGAAATGGGCTTATTTATATAACCAAGGTGATTTTTTTTTGAGATTTTCTATTTAAACCCCGCACTTCTCTTTGTTCACCCCAATATTTAAATCATTAAGCTGTAAGTTTTATTATTGTGTAAAAAGATAAAAAAGTTCATCCAATTTAGTAATTAACCCTAGTACATCTATACACACACCCCACACCCCACCACTCTTTATATCAAGTTTTAGAAAAATACAAACTCCTGTACATCATATTGCCATATTACTCTTCTCTTTTAAAGACATAGAAAATTGACGACTCTATCTCTTTAAATATGTGTGGGAGTTGATGGAAAGGCTTGTTGATTATCAACTCAACAATACCCAAGTGTTGGAATTCCAGTTACAGTTCTTGGAGAGAGGTAAAGTTGTTCTCTTTCTCTAGAAAGTATTAAATTTCGGGTTTATGGTTCTATTTGTTTGTGTTTTTTTTTCTGGGAACAAAGAAAATTGTGGGGTTTAAATAGAAAATCTCTTTTATTTCTTATTTTTTCAGTTTGGTATTTAAGGGTAATTTGGGAAGATAGTGGGGTTTTCTTAGAAATTGTGAAATTTTAAATTAAAAGATAGGGTGAACTTAGAACATGGGGTGAACTAAGAGAAGTGTGGGGTTTAAATAGAAAATCTCTTTTTTTTTCCTCCCATTTCTCTGTTTTTCTATGTTTTTGTCTCTGTTTTTCTATGTAATCCCTCATCTTGATTACTACTATTCTTTAGGTCAGTTCTGATACATGTTTTTTGTTTCAACTCAGGAGGAAATTGAGGAGCTGGAGTGAGAATCGGCTACATAGCCAACAATTGGTTGTTTTGGCTGGGTTGATTCAAGTTGTTAGGAAATTCCTTTTGAAAGTTGTATGAAATCATAGAGAATGCGTATGAATTGAGCATATCCGAAATTGAAATTGCTGATGAACTGCAAAGGCGACTGATATTTGATGTAAAGCCTCAGCAGGCAGCTGGTTGTGTCTTTGACTTTATTACTCTTGTTCGCGTTGCCATTGAAGTGATGAGTTCCATGTTTGTGAATCAATTTATGAGTTGGGGGACCATCCATTTTCCATATACTGAACTTATATGGGCCATTGTGGAATTTTGGTTAAATTTCTTGGGCTTTCTGTTGGTTTTTGTAATGTGTGCATGTATGGGCCATGTATGTCACAAACAGCATAAGCCCATGTCTATCTACTTGCTTTTCTTTTGATAAGGGCACGACATACCTGAAAGGCTATAATGAGGAGCTTAAGTTCATTTATTTCATCATATTTGTTTACGGTGGAATTGATTCCTTCAAATAAGCTCATCACTCTAAACTCCTCATTGTAAAAGCTTCCGACGGCACACTAACAAGCCTAAGTTGCGTCTGCAGTTCTATCTACTTGCTCATTAGACCCTCCTGTACATTTTTATCTTTGTTGTCCAATGAAATTTTAATTGTTTTGTATTAAAAAAAATTACATGGCATTTTAATTGTTTGACCAAAAAGCGTATAGCTGAAATTAATTCTTTTCTTTATTGAGCGACTTTTGTTCACCCTGTGGCAGCTTATGAGTTATTATGACCCATTATATGCCTAATACATACTGCAAGAAATATAATAACTAATGCAGTAAATTATTGCAACAAGCCTTGCCTACCAGATTGGAAAAGAGTAAAAAAGGACTTCAAATTCAGTAACCACATGCATGAAAATCATGGCAGAAATGCTTAACATCTGCAGAGCATCTTCAGGGGCCTAGTATTTTTGTTGTTAAGCCAGGCTTCCCAGAGCCCCAAGATTTGATCAGATCTGCAATAGGTATTGTATATGGTGCAGACTTGGCCCCTCCTCAATAATATATGTTTGTCTTACTCCTCATACTGGTTCACTATTGTTTCATTTCATGTATAAGTAGTCTTTTAGTTTGATTTATAAATTTTAATCGGGTCTATTTTTTCGGTCACAATGAAAGCGAATCGATCCTTTGCCCTAGCTTAAAGCGATCCTGAAATGTATATGCAGGGCTGCAAGTTCTGAGCACCTGGTTCATAAATTCCCAAGAGTTTGGGATATTGATTATGACATTCATATCGTGATTTGATGGATCATATTTGAGAAAGCTCTAAAGTCTAAAGCTCTACATATATGTATGGTCACAATCATATAAGAGAAATTCCATTTTATCTCTATATATGGAGCTGCTGTCCCATGTCAAAGTGACTGCTTTGTTGGATTCAACGTTAATTATAGTCGTCATTACTTGACTGTCAGCAAGAAGTCGGTAGGGTTTTCGACATGTGAAGAAAAAACTAGAACATTTGGTGTTATATGGCACCATTTGAACATTCCAAAAATGAGTTTCGTATGTGCCCAAAAACAAAGTTTGGTTTCTATCTGATCCTGTGTCCGTGGATGAAAACCACACCAACAAAATCCTGTGGCAGAATGGTGTGATTAAAAGCTTCCTATTTGACATTTCACAGTTGATATATGCATGTTTTTTTAATGGAGAAAAAGCATAGGAGGGTCTGATTTAGCTGTAGTCCTTCAAACCTTTGTGCCGGCCACTTCTCCGTTGCCAAAAAAGTGGAAAAAAAGGGTTAAAGTTGGGATTAGGAAAGCTAAGGTTCAATTCCTTCTAATGTAAGAAAGAAAAACTCGGGTGTTTAACAGGTGTTTAACAGGTGTAGTATCAATCAAATGTTGGCTTCTCTTACTTGATACCGAGAATATATGTTGTCGGAATGTGAATTTTGGTCACGCATTCGAATATAATAATTTCATTTAATCAATAACGCTTATTCATAGTTTTAAAAACCTAAAAAATTATTGCATATTTGAAGAATCTTATTTTATTTTTTGTGATGATTTGATATATGTACGTTTTCAGGACGGTGGTTAGATTTAAGCTGCCTCATGCATAAAGGACCACATCTGTACCTTCGCTTAATCAAAAGAGTGAATTTCAGCACCATGACAAGGAAGAATTTTTTCAATGGGAATATTAGGGAACATTTTGAATCTCTTTAATAGAGATAGGGGTGCTTAGCTTATCTACTCAACTTGACCTCACTGTAGAAATAGTGTGCTAAGTGAACCCCACGACGTGTTACACTTCAACAAATGTCAAAGTGAAGGAAAATTATATTCAGTGGGAGGAAAAAGAAACCACAAAAGAATAATACAAAAGAATGAGGATTTCTCCGTTGCGAAATCAGCAAATTTTTTTATAATACAAGTGATAGTCGAAATTACAAAAAAAAAAAGATTTCTCACACACAGACATGAAAGTTCGAATATAAGACAGTATACTAGAACCCCCCCGTTTGGCCATATATATCTTCATTTGAAAGCCCTATACTGAGGCTGTAAGTTGGGTTTCCTCCAACTTAAGGTCACATCTTAATGATGGCCCTAGCTAGTTATTCTTTGTTGCTCTAGCGCCACTATCTTGTGGCAAGGACAACTGCCATTTGGATCTGCTTCTATGGTGGATCCAAACCTCCTCCTTGCTTATGCTCTTAGTCAAAGAAAACGGCTATCACAAATGGATACATATATTTTTTCCATACAAGTTTTCGGGGTGAATGCAAAGCTGGCTGTTCATATATATAACTAATTTCTGGACCAAACTTTGGAAAAAAGCTGCATAATCAATGAGAATATAATGAAATTATGCAAAGCACTTAAGATAACAGGATCAGTTATTGATCCTCTATCATCTAAATAAACACAGATGCTAAACATGAGATAAATATATGGGAGTTGGAAAAGGAATAAGTGGGTTAAGCACTTTTTTTTTTCCCCTTATCCCATATGATGAAGAAAGGAAGTTGGAAGGATAGGTATAGGTAGATGAGAGGGAACGTGTATGAAGTGCACAATGAGCTAGTGGTTATCCATGGAGGGACCAAGTTATGTTGTCACTAATTAAAGTAGCATGCACCTTTTAGTTTGGCGTGGGGAGCAACTGGGGCACCATTGTTCATGCTCAGTCAATTAATGTGCTAACACCTCACAAAGGACATCATTTCAAGCAAAAACTAAGTATTTTTCAAAGAAATTAATAAGCAGCAAAAATCGTAAAGGTTTTCAAATCTCTCCTTTTTTTTTCACAAAGTAACACAGTTATGTCCGTATTCCACTTTAAACGGACTTGACTTATTGAAAAAACTTTTTTAATTGACTGCTTCGAAAAATCTAGAAAAACCACACAAGCAACTCAAAGGTAGATTGTAATATTTCAACACCGTCACAAAAATAAAATAAAAGAGTGTCATATATTGAAGGAAATAGTACTTATGTTGTCTAACTGTGAACATGATTCACACATTCAAATAAGGATCAATCAAAGACATCTCCAATTGATTTGAATGATCAAATCTCTAAAATTTTAATATTGTACAATTAGGCAAATATCTAAATGTCTCTTCAGCAAGGACAACCAAAAACCATAGCACTGATAGCCCAGCTATGCAAATCTAGAATTTTATTTCCATGCCTTTTGGCTGCTTCTACTTTCATTGCAGCAATGAGATCTTCTTTTTTACTCAAAAGATCATAACACCACAGAGTTTGACTAGAATTGGCACATATGTATAGTTGTGGCAAACAATTGCTCATGCAGTTTTATAAATACATATAAAAATAAGTAATTATAATAGTGGTAATTAAGCAAGCAATTAAGCCGCAATAAAATTTAAAAAAAAAACAAGAAATGAAGGTGATTTATAAGCATGGTGATGAGTATGAGATTTTCTCAAGACCCCAATTGGTGGTTCTGATTTCTGTTATCTTCCAAGATGTGACAGCATCTCTTATGTGGGGATTATGCGCAGTGTGTGTGAAGCTTTACACTTAGAATATTACTAAACAATTAGACCTAAAAAGGCACATATACCTTGATTAATTTGTTTAATTTAGAGCTCCAAAGTTCAACTTTGAGATTATGATTTTGTGGAAGCTGCCTATTAATTTAAGAAAATGAAGTGACGGATAATAATGCGTACGTACCTACCATTTGCTAATCCAGAGAGTAGAACATGGGTGGGAGAACCCTGGGCGGCTATTCAACTGATGCAAATTCAATGCACTTAAGCACACATTCTTTCTTTATAAAATACTAAAACAATAACATAAGAATTCTTTCATGATTACATTTTGATATGTAGGGCTTTGCTATGTAATCCTTCTTTTCTTTGATCTCCTCACTAACGCTACATGTATCATATTTACAACATTACTCGTCAAGTCTTTTACAAAGGTGAATTCGCATACACGAAAGATATAATTCGTAAGCGATGGTTAATTTTCCTTTGTTGGATTTTATTAGTAATTCTTGATCTATTTAACTTAAGAAAAGTGAATGATGGGGTAAAACAATGTTACTAGCATATGGAAGCACTAAAATTTGATATGTTTCTTTGACATGGTAGAATTATATATCAGATTTAAGAGTAAATTTGAACACACATCCTATCTTCACTCAAATTTCATAATTTTTTAAGGGTAAATTTGAATAAGTTAAGTTTCGTTAATCTTCATCCGGTGGCTCAAACTAGACTGAAATATTTCAATTAAATTGGATTAAAATCCTAGTATTGGGCCTATTGACTTGAATAACAGTCTAATATATTGTGTTAAGTTGGGAACTCATAAATACTGGTATGAGCTTAATTCCAATTCAATTCAAATCGAAGCACCAAACGAGTTCTAAAATTTTACAGTTTTTTGGGTAAAAAAGTTTCAAAAAAAATGTAACAAATGAATAAGTTTCTAGCACATAGATAAATGAGCTTTGAAGAGCAGATAACTATTTAGGAATAAATGAGCTCTAACTTTCCATTTGGTGCCTAACTTTGTAATAATGAGGTCTCAAAAACAAATTAGAATGAGTCAAAAGGGTGTCTTTGTCAAGAAAAGACCACTTTCTTTTACCCTGCGGAGACTCAC